AATTATGATATTTGAATTTACAGAGGAAACTGTGGTACAAAGAAAGAAAGAAAGAAAGAAAGGCTTCATTAGAACTAACGCAGCAGTCCAGCTGCTCTGCGTGCTAGTTGTAATGAATTCTCCCGTGGCGCTGGACACAGCCATCCCTATGTACAGCAAGAGTCTACTCTGACGTGATATCTAGAGACTTCCTGTAGTGGGGGAAAAATCTACTCTATTGTCTTTTCCTATCTGGTTCCAAAAAATAGCAGCCCCCTTCCCCTCCTCACCCACCCCTCCCCCCAAAGAAAAATCCCCTGCAATCAAGAACAAAAAAGCAAAACTTCCAGGACCTGGTAGTTTCCCCTTCTGGAAATGTTCAGCATGACAGTGTCAAGGGAAAATGTGACTGTTGCAGGATGCTGCAGCATCTGTTTTGTAAACATAGCCTGTAAATGCTGAACGAATTCACTTTGATGCCATTCTGATAGGAGTGTGTCTCCCGCTGCGTCCCCCCCTCAGCCTTACCATACGGCCACCTCAGACTGAAAGTTTAGTTTTTGTTTTAAAGAAAGATGTAACTGTCAAACCCAGGATACCACAAATAACCCGCAGATTTTTGCACATTCATTTCTCCCCTACCACAAAAAAGTGAAGAGTGTTGAATAGAGACCATGCTATAACTGTTTACAAAAGTGAATAAAATGTAGTTAATCTTGAAGCCTAAAATAACTAATTAGGAAAGAAATAAGTCTCACTACAGTATTTAAGCAAACACAAAGGTAAGTTCATTAAAAACACAGAAAAATGAAAAAAATGCGGAGTAATTACAAGCACTAAATATTTTGCTAGGAAGCTTTTTGAAATCTATTTACATACATAAATACAAGTAACTCTGTTGATGCAACCCTTTTAGGACAAGGAGAAAAATGCCAAGTGATCAGTACTGACCAAGCAAGGTTAACAAAAATAAAATATGAAAATGTTACGATGCAGGAAAAAAAGCAAGTGTTTTTGCTCAAATAGAAAAATGATCCACTTCTCCTGAATCTTCAAATACACCAATGGACAAGGTCACCCAGAAAGCAGTAATGAATGTTTCAAGAGTGCAGGCAATTTGGAACACTCTGACAAAGACTGTGGGTCATTTGGAGGAAAGGGTTTTTCTCCTTTCCAGAATATAATTTGGCATAATTCTACAAATCAAATCCTTCGTAGCAGGGATGCACTCTGCATCTGCCTCCCCCTTGTGCTAAAGCTCCTGTACATCGCCCTGGAAGTGCAGCAGGAACTGCTGAAGTGAGCATAAACGTTGTTTGAGAGCAAAGCAATGGGCCTTAGAGCAAAGGAGAGCCAGGCCCTATATTTACTTTGAAGTTGTTTGATACGACTGCATCTGGACAGCTAGTTGTGTCTCGTGAAAGGAACACACAAGCTGATAGTAAGGACTGCCATTAACTGTGTTTTGGTACAGGAAGGTATCTAAGGCACTCTGCTGACTGAAACCTGCAAACAGAAGCACAGTAGCTATTTTTTTGATTCCATTCAGCTACCGGGATGAAAAAACTATATAAATATGTATCTATATAAGTATATACTTATATACTATAATTTGGAGACGTGAATGGGGGAAATGTTTTATTCAAATGTCCTCTTTCTGTCTGCTAAGTGCTCTTAAGATATGACAGGAACGACATGAGAAAATTTTTACAGCCTCAGAGATCTTTGCAGTCCTTAGTGGGACAGGGGATGGCTACAAAAATGTAGAATTGAGTAACCTGTGGTTTCTCATAAGCCCTTGTGTGAATACACTGAAATCTACAGCGATTAAACAGACTAATTGCAAAAGATTATGAGTTTAGCTTTTCCTCTGTAAAGACGGTGCTGCTTTCCGCTGTGCTTGACAGACACAGAGAGGTTAGACTCAAAAAGTCTGGTTGCTGGCAGTTATCACAAGTGACATACTGGGAAATCCCAGGGTTTTGTTATGTGTCAGTAAAGACATGGGGTGAATGTGGTGACCAGTTCTGCAGGTTCTCATCCTGTTCACACCGGGGAGAGTAAAATTAAACTCCACCCTTAAGACAAGTGTAAAGAAAGTAGATGTGTAGACATACGAAATGTTCAATGTTAGGTCTAATCTCTAGGCTAAGAGATGCCAACTCCCTGTTCTTGTGAGCCTCTTAGTTTCGAAAGTGGGTGGTACAATACCATGGGCTAAAAGGGGCAAAGGGCTTTAGCAGAAAGGAGACTGGCAACAGACAGGCCTGGGAGCATAGTAGCCACATCAACATCACTTCTGCCACTGGGCTGAAGTCACTGGGCCATACAGCCCTGCCCTCTGTGCTGAGGCACCTGGCTCCTCTGAGGTCCTCTCCTCTCCCTCACCTCTGGCTTCACGCTCACAGTACTGTGCACTTGGGTGGTCCAGTCACAGGTCAGGTGTGAGAGCTGTAGTAAACGATTACTTCAATTGCACAGCGACAGAGAATATGTGAGATGGATTCTGCAACAGAGCTACTGTTTAGTGATGAAGGACTTTTTTTTTTTTTTTTAGGCTACTGAAGAGGTGAGATTCCAACTATCTATATGTCACAACAGGTAGGCTCTCTGTTTCTGTATTCAGCAAGGTTTCCATACTTCCAAAATATATTTTTAACTGTTCTGATATACTTTTGATGTTTTCTGCCTTTTTTGTTCAGAGCAAACTCTGGAAAATGATAAAGAATATTATGCTAAATGAAAACCACAAGGCCATGTATGCATTTTAACAAAACCATTTTGAACTTTTGCTGAGATCTCTTGAAACACTCTCTATTTTCTGCACAGAAATGACCTTATTGACAGTGTAAATTCTTCAATTTATAACTTTTCAGTACCAAAGTGCTACTGCATCCAACTTAAACAAAGAAGCAAAATCATATATAAAAAAAAGAAAACTTGAAAAACAAATGGTTTTAAATAAGTCCAGCTGTTTTGCTGCCTGCAGCCAAGGATCTTTTTAATTTGAATCCTTTTAATTTTTTTTAAACATCAAACACTGATCTGAAGTCCTGCTTTCAAATACTCTCTGAGCTGACCTGCAATTGTTTCACTCATTTAAGAGGTACATTAAATAATAATCAGCTAATTTGGAACGCACACGTGTCAATATCAGCAGTTTGTAATTAAGAGTAGTACAACTGCATTCAGACCAAACCCTCAAATAAAATAGTGCCATAAACTTTACAGTGACATCTGATATGTTTGCGCTGTTAACGATGGGCAATGATGATGGCTCTGTATTAACCTGCTGCTAGTACAAGCCTTGTGTATTTGCTACAGGACAGAATATTGTGTGCACCAACTTTGAATACCCTTCCTCCCTCAGAAGATGGTGACAGAGGAACCGTTAAGGCTCCTTCTCTGCTGGCCTGCTTTCCAGATGAGCTTGACAACCCTGTTCAGTCCGAGGTATTTTGTGATGCATGAACTGATCTATTTTCCAGTACACTGGAATGTGGCTTTCGTACTGCACAGAAATCTTGGCTCTGCTGAGCTGGGAGCACATCTCACACTGATTCTGACGGAGTCAGGACTTCACCCTTGCCATGCTAACTGCGTGTTGGCTTTTGCTTTTGAAAGACCAGGCAGCCTCCACTGGCACTGTAAGGAAGACCAGGCAAGCTCGGAAGCAGAATAGGGCCTTATGAGGATGTATTTAGTTAGGGAATATTGAGTCTGCCTTATATGTATATCCTGATTACTGATCCTGAGGGTCACCACTGGTGATGAAGGAAAAGCGAGGAAGGAGTAGGGAGAGATGACACCACTGGGTGAGAAGGCACAGAAAATCAGAGGGATTTTGGTGCCTAAATAATTTCAGTGGGAGTTGGGCACCTAAATGCCTTTGAGGATCTGAGCCCAGTTAGCTGAGTAAAATGAGAGCGAGATAATTGTAAACAATATTTCTAGGTAATTAGGAAGTCACTTTACCCATCATTATTCCAGCCTTTTTCAATGTGATAAATTTGACTTTGGCTGCTACCAAAAAAGGCAATTGCTGATCTTTTTTAATATAGGCATCTTTAAATAATAATAGTATCAACAAATAAGAAAAGTCTAAATATCAAGCATAAATATAATTGAACTCATCAAAGTAGTACAGTAGTTGAAAATGACCCAAGGCTGTAGCCGTTGTATTAAAAAAAAAAAAGTTCAAGAGAAAAAAGTTAAATTAACTCATTGAAAAAGCGGCTGATTCTTTCAGTTGACAAAGCAAGAAAGAAGCAAGCATGATTAAAACAAAAAAAAGAGCAAATTTTTTTTTTTTGCAATTTATAAGGTGCCAAGAGAAATAAAACAAATTAGATGCAAAGCAGGATGAGCTGCATCCTAAAAACCAAAAAAAAACCCCCAAAACAAAAAAAACCCCAGCAATAAAAAATTCCATATTCTTTGGGATATACAACGTGGTTTAAAAAAAAAAAAAAAAAAACCAAAAGAAAGAATGAAGTCCAACATATAAAACGTCTCATTCACAGCATTGCTAAAACAGAAGCGTTCACAGTTTCCCTCTGGGAATCTTCCTATACTTCCTTACAGTTAATATGTCCATAAGATGCAGTAAACTCACTAAGATTTTTTTAGGTTTTAAGTCTTAAAAATAGAAGTGAACCAAAACTCTCTTTAGGGCTGTGAAGACCTTCAAGCCCAGGCACGTTAGAAAGCCACAGGCTTGGAAACAGACTGGGTACCTTTCTACCCATTCTCGCTACCTCTGGACCACCAGCTCTGGCGTCCTCCTTTACAGAAGCTCAGCCACCCACTAGGGATGCTTTGCTGGAGCGACATCACTTTGCCAGGGTCTGGCTAATACGTGCCACCGCTCCTGGGAGCACTGACTTCTGAAGGGTTTGCTTCTGAAAGTGATGTATGAACATGGCAGGGCCCATAAGCAAGACAGGTGTTTATAGCATACCTACGGGCACTGGGAAATGAGAAAGCACATGAGTCCTGGCCTATAACTACTTAAAATTCATTCAGTATGGTCGCCACACCGCTTCTTCTAGCCTGGCTGTGGTCGCCATGTTAGTGGGGGAGTTGCTGTGGCTCCCTTCGGCCTCGACCACATCACTTTGGTTGGGGAGGTTGGGGTTGAGAAGCGTCGATCCTGTGGAGGCGTTGGTGCAGGGGGGGTGGATGCGTGGGGGGGACCGGTCTCCCCCTGAGATCATGGAGAACTGATAGGAGCCGGCGGAGGTTCCATAGTAGAGGTGGTAGGAGGGCGAGCTGGTCTGGAACGGGCTGCCTTGGGCCTGCGACGAGCCGGGGTAGGGAGGCGGGAGGTAAGTGTGATATCTTGTGGCCGTGGACATGGCAGACATACCGATCCCTATCCCTGAACTGACGGGTGTCGGCGTGTAGGTGAATGCTCCCGGGTAGTGCATCCGAGGGTCGGAGATGGAGGAGAGCGCAGAGAAGGAGCGGTCGATTCCCACCCGGGGGTCACTGAATGCAGTCAAGTCAGAAGCACCTGGGTGGTGGGGAAAGGAGACAGAACTGTTGAACTGGCAGAACAGAGGTTAACCTGCTCGGGGCGATAATCAACATCCAAACTCTGGTCTACAGTTAGCCAAACCAGTGCTGCTACTTCCGGAACAGAGCTATCCCTCACCTGCTCTCCAGTGCAGTCATTGTAGTGCTCATGGATCTGGGTGTTTTGGATTAATTTAATTAAAGCAGCAATTAAAGAGGAGTGCCACGCTCTCACCCTGTTTTTTATGTGTTTGTGTTTGCTCTTAGAGACATTACAGCACATGCAATTATTTACACTTGCACAGTGCCTTTGTCCTGAGTGGGTGGGTGGGTGGGTGCAGAACAGGGACGCGGATCTCAAGCTCCTTGCTCAGCATCGCTTGACTCACCAGGGACACTGAGAGGGCCTAAATATAAATTGTCCAGCTTCTGCATAGTCTCTCCTTGCATCCAGTTTTATTTGCCAACTCCAACGGGAAGCTCCAAGGAGCAGGTATCGTCCTTCAGGTACACAAACATGCACAGGCAGGATTTACACAGGCTCAGCCCAGCTGTCAGCACTTAGGAGCACAGCTCCCCATTGACTCTCAACACTACCAAAGTCAAGATAAATCAGGTTCACTTAAGGTCTTCGTATCTGGGTCCTCATAGAATGTCCACATAATTGTAACTAACTTCTGAAAATCTTGGCTCTAATAAGCATGTAAAAAAGGACAATAACACTGCCTTTTTAAAGCAGAATGATAGATTTGGGGCTTGGCCTTTTTTCTTTCTTTCTTTCATGTGTGCTAGAAGTCTTTCTCATCCTGCTAAGCGAAATGTTTTATAGGACAGTCAAATTCTGCTCCACTTTGTCTGACATCAGTGGAAGTATGCCCAGTCCCACCGTCTCCTTCCCTGGTGTGCAAGGATTAAACAGGCAGAGCAGATGATGGCCTCTTTAGGAAGGATCTTCATCATGACTCAGATTAATGGAAGGTGTCAGTCCCTAGAGTTGGCAGCTATGCATGATTAAAATAACAACAATAATAATTAAGAAAAAATCTTTCCAGAAGACAACTACTTCTGTCAGACAAGACATGGAGTCTGCAGAAGAGGAGCCATGCGCTGAAGGAAATACTCATGAAAAGAAGCAGAGAGAAAACAAAGCTCTTGGCTCTGACTGGATTTAAAGCTAGAGCAGACACACTCCAGCGCCAGGGTCTGAAAGCTCGTCAATGATACAGCCAGCATACTTTGACAAATTCCTATAAATTTCTTAGAAAAGCTCTGACGCATGCTGTATGCTTCCTTTTTGAGTTTGCCGTCTGCTGTTCTCTGGAAGATTAATGGGACCCCTGAACACATTTCCTTTCCCTAGACCCCAGCACCTTTAGATTTAAAAAAGCAAGATACATTGTAGTATGGAACAGCAAGAGCTTCAGAGCAGCTAAGGTTGAAGGTGGCATCTGACAACTTGCCAGATTTCAAATGGTTCTTCCACACCTCATTCCTGAGAAAGAAATAAAACTTCTTGAAACTGCCCAGACACATCACTTATCAGATGAGGGTTTCTTATGCCCAGTTTGACAAAGAGCAGAATAATGAAACTTAAGGTGTTTCAAGTATGTCCATATCTTTGCATTTTCTTTTGGGGCACCATGTCTTTAGATGCTAGGGCCTAAAAAAACCTCAAATTTGCCCTTTGTCCTGACAATGAGAAATTTCTTAGGTAGTCAGGAAGTGTGTGTGACAGTAATGGGATTAGGGAGAAAATATTGTGAAAGATTTTTCTGGGAATACCAAATGACATTTAATATAGAAGTAACATTTTGGAAGCATTGTAAGAAACACTTAAGAAGTGCAGAGATGAGCCTCCATGTACAGAATTAAGACAGGAAAGAAAGAATGCTGACACGTGAATTAAGCTCTTCTAGGTTCCTTCACAAGTCATGGAGAAACTGTGCCTGCCCCAAGGTAAATCGCTTTGACCATGGGCACAAAAAGCACAGACAAGCCCTAGTGCTGGTGCTCTATCTCCACGCTCACCATGTGCCACAAAAGAAACACAGGGTGCAGTTACTGCATGCACACATGGCTATCTGCTGTTAGACTGTGCACTCCTGGGGGCAGCCACCATGGAAGCTGGTGGTGCTCATACCCTGCTCAGCACAATAAGGGCCCCGCTACACAATGAGGACATTTGAGCACTATGGCAATGCAAAAAATATTGCATTTCAATACTGGGTGCATTCACCCACTTGAGTGTAACTTTAGCCACCACACTGGCAGAGGTAAAATGTGATTAACATCTCCATTCAGTCTGATTCACGTATCCACACCTACAACTACACATACATCAGACACCCCGTATAGGGTTTGAAAATCAAAATAGATAATGAATATTGATATCAAACAATTTTGTCACGAAAAATGCTTTTCTAAGTAAAAAAACTTGCTGGAATACTTTGTTTTAATTGAAATTTTCTGGTTGCTGTGAAGAAGATCTTTTTTCATCCTTCTCTGTTTTCTCAGTTTCTGCATTTTGCTAGGGGAAAGGAGTGCAAACAGAGCAAAAGACATGGGAGAAAGTAAAAAGGAGTTTTTAATTTTAAAAAAAAGTGTGTCAATGAAGAATGAGAATTTTTATAGATTTTTTTAAAAATAATACATTTCCCTTTTTTTTTCTTCTGAAAAGTTTCCTTTATTTTCAGCTATCTCTAAGATGTAATTAGCACCCAGACCTAACAAATAATTTCGTTTTGGTAGGCATTTTCCCTGAGACTCTTTCAAAGCAGGCTCTATATGACAACAAAAGGACAGGCTGGAGCATGTTCAATTGATTCTCTCTGATCTTAGAAGAAGCCCTGAGTATTCAAATGAGAGCAATATGTGCAGCCAAAGAAGATATTTTTGAAAAAGCCATGTGCAAATGTGAATTATATGGCTCTCATTCATTTTAAGAAAATTCCTGCTATTGAACACACACATATTGGTTCAATATGCATAGGTTAGAGTCAGCAGATGGTCAGTTGAGTACGGTGGAAACCAGGGGGGTAGCTTTCACTTCCATGCTATATTTTTGTGTTGGCTTGTAAAGCTCTGCAATACAATTTGACAAAGATGTAACAAGACAATCCAGTGCAACACTTAAAATGTCAAACCCCACCATCCTGCACTCATTGTGTCCACCCATAACCTGCTGTGCTCTGGTCTGAATTTAAAGCGAGGGAAGGAAACAGAACTGAAATATCTGTGGCATTAATTTCTTGGCAGATACGATAGCTCTTCAGCACTCCAAACTATTTTTGTAGTTCCATACATCTTCAAAGTGCTGCTTTCTCCTCTTTTTTTTTTTTCTTTTTTTGACAATACTTTGGGCCCCAAACCATATTTCTTTACTCTTTGCACAAATCTCAGCAAAGCGTTGGAGAAGGCTTGCTGCAGAGGGCCTACAATAGGCTTCACTGCAACTGGAGAGAAGCTGGAGCAGCACCCTAAGGACATTCCAACCGGTCTGCACTGGAGTCAGCCTCCAGGCTTTGCTGAGGCCCGGTGCTGGGGAACTAACTTTTAGGTACTTACTTGACAGCCGGCTTGAGAGCTCTGCGGTGAGGGATGTCATGCCGCTAGCCCTGCCGGGTGACATTGGCGTGGCGGGGTGCACGGAGGGGGTGGCAATGGAGCCCAGGTACTGGTAGGACTGGTCATAGGACCATGGAGGAGATGGCTGCACTTGCCTTGTGTCTGCAATGAAAAAGAGACCTATAGGATGTTTTGAATGATAAAACTTTGCAATCAAATATGTGAACAAAACCATGTGGTGGAAATAGAAACTTAAATGCCAAGATAATTACATTTCAGTTCCATAATCCCCTTTGTCAAGAGACCTTCAGCTGAATTGCTTTCTAAAATATTATTTGTGCATCTGTGAGTTTTGATCAGTTCATTTTTTCTTGTGAAGCTTTTTGATATTTCACATTGATGGTGGGTAGGGAAAAGTGGTCAGGGAGAAGCGGTCAGGGAAAAGCAGATTAAGCTTTCCAAGGTGAAACTCTTCATTGCTGAGATGTAACAGTATTTCAGGCTGTGTGGTCACAGCCCTTTCAGCCAAAAAGGCATGTCTTGCATGGCACCAAGGAGACAAAAATATTGAACTGTGTTTCTGTGCAAGTGTGCATGTAGAGAGAAAAACAAGATGAAAATGTGTATGTGTGTGTGAGAGACAGAGATGAAAATAGAGTCCTTCAGAAGGCAGACTCCTAAATGGATGAATAGAACTGGAATTTGACTTCCCCAACCTTTTGAAAATCCCAGGCTTAATGAAATGAGCAGGTATTTTGTTCATCTATTTTCTGTATGCTAAAACACAGAAATACAGTCCAGAGTGATGGGTACCTCTACTAGCAGTGGCTGAACTTAAGAAACAGAAAGCTTTATGCAAACTCGATGGCATTGCTAGGATGAAAAAGCAGACACCCTGTGAGTACAGGTTTTCTGTAGAAACTTCTGCTTCATGGAAACAAAATCTCAGAAAGCACGGATGCATACAATATTTACAGAAAAACACTAACCTATTATTTTCTAGCCACACAACTAGTTTGGCTGACATTTGAAATCAGAGATGCATGGCAGGGAGTTTGTCCAAACCAGTTGCACCAATGCAGAAACAACTCTTTTCTGCTTATTTCATCTTTGCGTATGAAACTGGCATTTTTTTGGTGTGTAGAAATGTCTGATTTTTGTATAAATCAAAATGAGAAAGATTCCTCGTCCCCTTACCTACCCAGAATTTTTCTTACTATTTTTAGTAAAATCTTTTCTATTTTCTTCAGCTCTAAGAATGTTCTTCTGCAGCTTCACCCAACTAATTGCCTTTTGAAAAAAGCAAATGTTGGATGAACTGCATTCAGATAAAACTGATTTCAGCATGGAAGGGAAATTTCCCAAGTCTGAGATGAAGGACTTTGATCTTCCATCAGAAAGCCCATCTGGAAATTATTATTTTGTTGTGTTTTATGGAGATGAGTTTTACATTTTGTTTGTTTCATTTGTGTAGAAAGGAAGTTTTATATAAAACTCCAAGCTTTTAAAAAATAACTAGTGAAGGCACTTGCAGAATAAACTAAGGTCTTGTAAAGATTTTTCCGCTGAGTAACATATTAAAAATCAGATATTATTAATATTTATTTTTTTTTTCAGCCAGACTTCCTAAAAAAAAATCCAGTTGACTCATGCTGTTTTAAAAGCAACATCCGGTTGGATTAAATGGGCTTCAGCAGAAACAAACAAAAAGACATAGGCGCAAAGCCTGTCTTATTCTGAATTACAGCATCATCTCATTGTTAATGTACAGTCAGTGTTTATTAAACTGACAGGGAGACAGATGAGGAAATTCAACCTCCAGGGGTAGCATTAGGATTAATACCACAAAGCATTGGTAGAGCAAGCACTGTTATATTATGACACTGTGTGTTTCAGTTCTAAAACGGGGTTAATTAAATCATGAGTCCCTTATTTCAGCACACAATCCCACTGATTTCAGATCAGCAATGTGGCCGCGTACTAGAATCATGATACGTGCGCTGGAGGGATCCCAGCCCAGGGATGGAAACTCCCTCAGCTCGTCCTCCTGCCTGGGGAGACCTTGATGTGCTCTACCAAGGCTGACACCACCAGTGACAGAGCCTCCCCTCTGTCACCTCTCTCAGGGGCTCTGGTCAACACCATCACTGCAGAAGCCATTGAACCTCTTTGGCTGGAAATGCTTTATCACCTGCTTTCAGGTGCTCTGTCCTTAGGTCTCAGCACTGTAGAGAAGAGGGGAAAAGTCTGTCTTAGAGTGACCGGGATGTGTGTGAAGAGGGTGCTGCCACCCATCCTTGTTTTTCAGGCTGAAAGGAAAGAACGGACTGTCAAGTCTTCTGCTGTTACAAACTGTCAATGCGTGGTGGGATGTCTCTGTCTGCCACTTTTCTTGTGTTTCTGACACTGCTGGCTCTTCAGGACAAGAGACATGGTTTTGTACTGTACCTTGCCCAGCGTGCATGGGATCCTGGTCCATAAAACAGGCCCAAGTGCAATAAATAAAGGAACAGCGATAAGAAGATGCAGAAAAAGCTACAGCAGCTGCCTCAGTGGCAGACAAGGAAGCAAGACCTTGTCATGGATTTGCTAAACACTGACAAGACTAAATTTAAATATGGTTTCTTGCTCTTAGTGCTACTAGAATTAGCTGTGTGCTGTGTCCTGACTAGGAACCAGATAATGGACCAAGTATGTGTCTAGTAACATCCGGAGAGAGATTGCCAAGGTATCTGACCTGCCTCATCCATTTGCTCTTATTACTCACCTCTGGGGTACTTGAAGCAGTGACAGACAGCCCAAGAGACCCCCATTATTAATCTCCTCATGCCATTAAGTCTTTCTTAAGTGAAAGTTCAAACTAACAATCAATTTTCTGTCTTGGTACCTGTATTCCCAATCCCTGTATTTGCTCTTAAAAACTGGCTTTTTGACATCAGACTGGTTAACAAGTTGCAATCTATTCAGTGATGTCAATATAACACATTGTATTGGATACACACATTAAAGCAGGTTGTGCTGACTAACCCCAGCCATCACCTTCACAGTTTTTTAATAGCATGTGGAGGAAAGTATCACTGTAATAGCATTTTTATGGCACCATTTCAGTATCGAGAGGCAGACTCAGCTCCCAGTAAAGGCAAGGTTTGCATTCCCGGCAGCTTCAGTAGGATCTGGATCAGGGGCCTCAAACAGCATTTTATTTTTGTGATATCTGCTTTTCTTCAGCTTTCAAGTTACCCGAAATTAAACTGGAATGGGTTCAAATTTGCCACAGGACTAGGCTGCACAAAAAGGCAACAAACTCTTTCTGAATCCATCTCTTTTCTGATTTCAAAATAAAGAAGTGCACGTCTCAGAAGTTAGTAGCTTGGTGTGAGGAACCAAATGTGTGGCTTTGTGCAGCTGAAGTTAATTTGGTGAAACTATACTGCAAATAAATGGGAGTTGCTTCCCAACTCAGAATGTCTGTGAAGAGATTTGCAGGGAGAGCTACTTCAACAAAGGGAAATAACAGGGCTTTGGGCCCACACAGTTTGAAAGCCAAACAGGATTCCAAAATCATTTAAAAGCAGATCAAAATAGCACGAAACCAAGGAAGTTGCTCCAGTTGGTGATCTCTGCCCAGTCCTCCCGGTATTTCTCCCATTAGCAAGTACTTTCCATTTCTGCTTTTTATGGTGTGAGAAAATGTATTTAAAACATGAAAACAGTTATTAATTGCAATAAAACACTCCAGGGCGAGAATTATGGTGCAATAATTCACACCTTGCTGTGTAGTCACGAGCTCCCAACCTCTAGCCTCATGCCTAACAAGCTATTAAGCAGAAAGTATTGAACCATCTTTCATGCCTCGTCATGTTTTATTGCCATGAAAAGGTTGTGTTTGCCTTGTTTTAAAAAGTTGTAATTAAGCTGTACAAATGTTGCATAATATTTAATAGTTTAATGAAACAAGCTTTGGTTAAGAGACTCGGAGGAAAAAAAAAAACTAAAAAGCTGGCCTCCCCCTTCCACGCTGCTCCCTCTGGTCATACTTTTTTTAGCATTTTTCCAGCCGTTTTCGCCGTGGGAAATTAAAAAGCCTAACCCGAAGGAAGCGGATGGCTGTCGGTCGCTCCTTCCCGTGCCGAGAGATGCTGCCGGGGGCCCAGCGCATCAGTAGGTGGCAGCGGAGACCTTGCGGCTGCCGGGCTGCCAGCGCCGTGTGCCTTCGGGACCCGCTGTGGAATCACCGGCTTGAGCAGGGATCTTCCCGGACCCGCCACAACCCTTCATACCACCTTCGGTAACAGCTATTAGTCAGTCCCAGCCGGGAACTGTGTAACTGAAACCCTGCTCTGCGCAGGCACTGCACAGAGGGAGCATCTCTTTGTCAGGGAGTGTAGCGATAGGATGAGGGGTAATGGTTTTAAGCTGAAAGAGGGTAGATTTAGATAAGATATCAGGAGGAAGTTTTTTATTATTAGGGTGGTGAGACACTGGCACAGGTTGCCCAGGGAAGCTGTGGATGCCCCATCCCTGGAGGTGTTCAAGGCCAGGCTGGGTGAGGCCTTGACAAACCTGGGCTAGTGGAGGGTGTCCCTGCCCATGGCAGGGGGGGTGGACCTAGATGATCTTTAAGGTTCCTTCCAACCCAAACCATTCTGTGATTCTATGATTCTATGATCTCTCTTCAGAGCAGCTCTGGGTCCAGCAGGTAGCCAAGAGCACGGGTGCACAGGAGAGATGGGTATGCCCTGACCCAAGGATACCCTTGCTCAGCATAACCAGCATGGCTAAGTACAGCAAACACCTGACAGACAGTCAATGGAATTGTCCCAGTGTGACACAGGGCGCCTTTTGTCTTCCAGAGTTGTTACTGATAGTCAAGTACAAAAAAGACAAGAATTCCTGTCGCACCCAGAGCACAAGATGATGGGTCAAGACCTCAGTCAAAACCACTAGTGTATCTCCTGAGCTTGCACAGAACATCCTTCTGTCTGTAAAATTGATCCTGAGCATACAGGACATAGAAATCAGTGGCGCATAATAAACATGAAGTCCTGGGATGCTATTTCTATGAGATTCTTTTTCAGAGGGGGCACACACTTTACAATGCAAACCAACACCCCCCTCTCCCTCAAAAAGAAAATTATCTGATGCTGTCAGGCACTCAGAAT